CCCTATGATACCGGACGAGTGTTCCCCCTACCTTCTTCCACTGCCGAGGGAGTTTTTGGATATATAATCTGTGATTTGATAGGCTGTTGTACTCCGTTTTTGTTTGGGTCTCCCTTGTCAGATGGGGTAGGTGTAGTACCCTGCGCCACATCTGATGACCCTCCTGGTATCACAACAGGAGGTGTCACAGAAACAGTCGGAGTTACAACTTGTACACTCCCCATTTCACTAACCAGTTTAGACAGCGAGATAACGACTGGTGTAGTCCCCGTACTTGGACTAGAACTCACCTGTGCAGGGTTGTTGATATGAGGGACTATGGAAATGGGAGTTCCGGGTGGGGGAGTTCCTCCCCCTTTCCCATTACTTACCCTTGTCGGTTGTTGCGTTGAAGGGACTCCTCCTGTGGCCCCAACAATATTATGAGGAAGTCTTGCTCTGCTCATGAGCGGATTAGTCAATGAGTCTCCCTTCAAGGGTGACATTTCGCCAGTTTTGTCCAATCGATACCTCTTATCTTGTGAGTTTCCTGTGCGAGCTCCAGACTGAGTCGCAACTCTTGCTTGGTAACTCGTGAAGGAGCTTTGTGGACTCCCCGTTTGGGTGTGATTTCCTGCCGGCTTTCTTCCCTCGTTGTTGGGTAATCCGAAGATAAAGTGAGACCTTTGTGCCTCAGACTAGGAAGGGGGTGCCTGTAACTGCTCGGATGGGCCTGCAGCCCAACCCGCCTCTGCCCTCAGTCCCCCCCTCGCTCGCACGGAAGTTGCTCCCATAGCACCGAATGGAACACCTCCTAGGCTCCCTGGGTCTGTCTTTGGTGGACAATGTTAATTTCGATTGTCTGTGGGCAGTGGGCACGATTCGGTGGGGTGCCCATACTCATGACAGAGAGAGCACCAGTCAGTCATCTTTGTAACTACTTGGATTCTAATAACTATATCATTGTTCTGTGGCCAGTCCAGGAATTCCGGGACCCAGTTTTATTTGTCCAGGGGGATATCGAACTTCAGATTGTTGAGGTTTGGGGATTCCTCATATCTCTCGGGGGGGGGTATTGTTTTGCAATTTTCCCCACCGCAAATTCAATTTGAGAACGAACAAACGACACTGCTAGCCATGGAACACACAATGCAATAATCCAAATCTTGCTGACTTCTTCTGTCGTTTTTACTAACTCTAATTCAGTAGGAGACATCCATTTTTTGAAGGTAAGCTTGTAAGTAGTGTCGTCAATTTTAATTTTGTGATTTTTCATATTCAGCAACAACTCAATGAGTGTTTTGTCTGCGGGGAAGTAGGACATAACATTCCTTCCTTCCTAGTGCAGTCCACCTCTCTCTTTGTGATGCATACTCTGTGGCAGAATGAAGTCCTCCAAGCTCCTAATACATTTCTCTTTCCTGTCTGCTGAGACCGATTTGAAGTTCTCTTGGAAAAACACAACAAATACGTTATCCTTCATCCATTCCACCTACGCCTGTTCGATTTCAGAGGGTAGAGTCATGCAGGCTGTGTTCCCCTTTCGCTCGAACTTGGCGAATTTGGACATGTCCGCGATAACCATTCGGTCGAAACATTTATCCAGCATCCTCCTGACCTCTTTGACCTCACTAACCACGCGGTCTGATGTCCCCTCTCCCCCCTCGACCTCCCCTGATTTTTTTTACATTTGCACTGGAAACTCCGTTTCCTTCTTCGTCACTGTCCGAGTCTAGCTCTTCTGTCGGGAACCAGTCTACCTTAGAAAAGGACGAGATCCTTCCCCAACTGTGGATTTGTCTGATCCCCCAATTCTCTGAAAACCTCTGTCTCCACCCCCTTTCGGTCTCCCTCCTCACCCACGTGGCAGACCCGTCCGAACCTGGGGCTGTGCTATTTCCTCCCCTTATTTGAACTTGTCGCACCCGTTCCTCGTGGCTGGCTTGCCTTGAAAGGTGTGAAACCCCCCAGGACAGACCTTGTGGGTGGTTGCGGACATGTCATTGAGTTTTCCTATTGATTTGTCTCTCATTTTGGTTTGGGCTAGCGGTCGTATCTTCTTTTACAGCCTGGTCTGATTCCTATGGAAGTGGAGTATGGTGGTCCATGTCTGTGTCTTCCATTTGCATTTGCATCGTCCATCCCCCGGTGTCTGTCTAACGGTTGTGCTAAGTCCTAGTTAAGTAGATGAGAATGCTTAGTACCCTTCCCCTTCACCGTATGTGTTGTTACAACAACAACAAGCAACCCATCTACTCATAAACTCATGGTAACACAGTTCGTGATATGCCCAAAACCCATCTAAACCTAGTAACTGTTGTAGCCTATCATCGACAGAGCAGGAGACCTGGGATAATCATCCTTTGATGCTCACAAACGGCGGCAAGGGTAGGAAGGTCTATAGTATTGCCTCCACAATACCAAGCTGAACCTGGTGATTCGGGAAAGTTTGGCCTGTCGGATGAATCGTTGTACGTCGATGTATTCCGTGGCTCGAGAAAGATTACAATATAAGATTCCGTACCTAGGAGTAAAATCGCACGGGATTCTAGTGACAAAGCGCCATATTCAATTAGTCTTATTTATCACCTATAGCCCGTATAGCGGTTTCTGTTGCAGCACCACAGTGCGAAAAAGTCCAAGCCTCGAGGCAGGGTGAAGTGTAACGTAAGGAGGGGCGCGATCTGCTTCCAAAACCATCAACGGAGACAAGGAATGAGATTAGCTCGACTTAATTAATCGAGCTAGAACTTGAGTCACTCCGACTGTCTGGTATTAACTACAACCCGGGTTGGCGAAAGACCCAGGGGGCAATTCCAGGTTTGCTGGAAAAATCGCCAGCTGATGAGAAAGACAGGCGGGCTAGTTTATATTATCAGACCACGACGCCCTGTGAAGAGTTAAATGATGCGATGAGTAATGTGCCTACGACTCTGACGCAGAGTTACAGATAAGAGCAACATCTGACTGTTCTTCCCAAACTGAAATGGAGTGTCTAGCAGCTACTTAATTACTATGATGACGTAGTTATGACAATATTAAGAAAAAAACAGCTAGATTCCCTTGCGTTGAAGTTAATACTAAAAATGTCCAAAGAGCTGAGGACGAGAATGCAAGACACACTCACGTAAAAAAAAATAAAAATCCATAGAATAAATGACACCTATTGGAGCAACGCAGCATAAAAAGTGTGACCTAGCATTTGTATCTATCGATGTAGAGTTCGGTTGGTACACCTGCAGCCCCAATGTGTCTGCTTACCCGACTGAATACCCACCCTTATTACTAATTGCAGGGAATCTTCATGACCTAAAGATCCCCAACTGTGACTTTTTGTCCGCCTGAGTATCTGCACATACCATTGCTCGCAAGGGAGCTCCGTGACCTAAAGATCCTGGCGAACCATTCCGGTGCTCTACAGGTCTAGAAGTGCTGAATCTGCCTTGCTACAAAACCACACCCTCTGTTTTCACCCAGGCGCCTTACGTGACATAACTCTACCTTTCTAATACTCTTGCACCTAGACGTGAAACGAGTCATTGTTAAGCGTGGATAGACTCGAAGATGAACTCGAGCCCTCCTAGAGTGGGAAACTTGTCAGTAAAGCCCCCAACATAGTTAGCGAAGACCGGTCGTGGAATCTGTATCGTGGCTACACCCCCTTGTTCTTTACGTGTTCGGAAATAAAGCTTTTTGCATTGGCGCTTATGACCTATTCCCGCCCAACTCCAGGCCCCCTCTTGAAAGGGGGTCTGACAGAGTCAGTAACTACTACAAAAATCTTGGTGGGCCCCCTCTCTCGGTCTAATGGGAGACAAAAGGGCAGCAAGAATCCGACCTCTGTTCTCAAACTACTCCCGACCAGCAAGGCCGACCCCGAAGAAGCCCTAGTCCCTTCTGTAAAACAACCAGGCCTCGAGAAGTGGCGGAAAAGATGATATTAGGCCCCCTCGGACCAAACACATATCCCTCTAAAGGACCTATTGTGTCACCCCCAAAAGAGGAAAGGACAACTACTATTGCGAGGACGGTTTGCACGCGCACAACCTTACCAAAACGAGAAAAAACAAAATGAATCGCTTTAAAAGGAAAACTTGGCCGATGAGAATATCAACAGTCCAGAAACATCCCATACAAGGAGACAACCTCATTGGAGTGGGGAAAGCGTTACCTCACTGCGTCACCAGACAAAGCCGGTGTGTTCGTCGAAAAATCCAGAATACTTGCCAGCAGCTGGCATGATTAGACGCTCACTCTCCTGGACGCCATGACCGTTGTGCTTCCATTCACAGTATCTCTTTGCTTCTTTTCTGTTACCAGGCCGGGTACCTGGACGAACCTGAAGCAATGCCAAATCCGCTTTTGTGGATTGGATTCATAGTCCTCGTCTTCTGCGAGATAAGTTTTATAGAAAGCTTGCCGTTATCTCGACGATCTTCGGTTCCACTGTTAAAAAAGTTCTGCTGTGTATCTTGTTGCCGCCTCCCCAAACTTCACCACCCTTCCTCCCCCCAACCTAGATAAGTTCACGCCACTATTGCTCGAGTTCACCTGAAACCCGACAACTAGGTGGCACACCATTCCCGTGTTGAGCGCTACGGGACATGGCGCACGAACTTCGCGCTTACAATGAAGGAAACCCTAACTCTAACGCACGCTCGTCGTAGGACTAGAGCGCTGCAGCGCCCCCTCCAACTTCATCCCAATTAGAATTAATTTTTGATATTTCCTTTTTGAAATTCGGAAATAATTTTAATTAATTAAATTTCCTCATATATTTTAATTCCTAAAATTCCTGTTTGCAATTTTTCTTCAAATTCGAAAAATTCTTTTTTGAAATTATCTTTTTATTCAAAATTCAAACGTAAATCCGAATAAATTTCTTCAGAATTTATTTAATTATTATTTCTTTTCATTTGGAAATTCCTGAAAATTTTGCTTTCGTATTTATTGAAAAACACACTCTCGAATTAATTCGAATAAATTCAAATTAATTTATTCAAAATTAATTCTTACTCTCCGATTCTCTGCTATCTTCATTGTTAAATCACTTTATGATGCTCTATTCTTCTTAATAGGAATTGTCCCCCCCATCTCCACATGCCACCACGCCAAACCAAGACCTCCCAACACGCCCCCGCCGACGCCGCTGCCGCTACCACTGCCGCTGCCGCTGCCGCCGCCACCGCTGCCGCTATCACATCCGCTGCTACCGCCTCCACTTCCGCTTCGGCCACGTCATCCACCCCCTCTTCCCCCACCATGGCCCAATCTTCCATCAACATGTTTGATCTTCGTTCCGACTCCGTCAACAGCATTGCCTGCGAACTCGCAGGCGATCAGCCAACTTCGACCACCACCACCCCGTAACTCGCAACAATCCTCCAAACATTGACCGCCCTCAAATCCTCCGTCGCCACCATCAACACCACCATGGCCGTCATCTCCGATCGTGTCACCGCGCTAGAGGGAAACTCCCCGGCCATCACGGTCGTCACCACGACCACACCTCCCTCCGCCACATCCTAACCCACCCCC